TCTAAAGAAAGAGTTCACAAGCACGTTAAAAAACTGCATCAAAAATAATTTTCAATTGTCAAAATTAAAATCTATCCAGAAAAGACAAAGATTTGGTATATTGCATGTATTTTTCAAATTGTTCAATCAAAAAGATAATCTCACAAAACAAATTCTAAGTGTTTAAATTTGTTTTCATTGTTGTACAGTATGTATGTATATATATGCACACATACACACCCATGTGACTGATGTGAAAAAAACAGTATCCTTAATGGGTTTATTCCGGCAGGTTTGTTTAACAAGATTTGTCTTATTACTTTACAGTCACACTTTGTTCAAGATGGAGGGAATCCTGGAAGCCATCTAATCGAACGTTCCTTCAAATGAAGGATTTCCCTTTTGTAATATTCAAAACAATGCTCTGTAGTTTGTTCATCTCTTAAAACTCATAGTCAGAATTGAACATGAACTAAAGGTGTGCTTGGCCTATAACGAAGTGCGACCAGTGCCACCCAGGATCCAGATGCTCAAATGCATGCAAGATTAGAATGAGCTCGTCAGTGAGCAGGCTTTGTCCTGTGACATGCAGCTCTAAGCCTCATCTCCCCTCAACTCCCTTCCCTGCAGCTAATTTTTTTTTTACCCAAATCAAGACTACATATTCATTCCTATTAACTTTTTTCTTAGTTTCAGCCCACCATTCCATATACTGAGATCCTAAGGATCCTGTAGTCCAATATTTCAGTTAAATATGTCATGTCTTTATCAAAATCACTGGCACAACAATCAAAGAACTTCACAATGTGAAGAATAACAGGAGGAAAAATTGAAGGCAACAAGTATAGACAACACTTTGCCATAAAGAGAAACAGAGAAATGGGATGGCAGCAGGATGGATATTTGGTGGGGAGGTCAAATGTTTAAATATATATATTCAAATATTTATATGCTAATGAATCATCCAAAAGCAAAGGAAAAATACAGTATGTAAAAACATTTTCTAAATTGTTAAATTCTAAATTATTAAATTTCAACACAAATATAATTTATCATATATTGCTTGGTCATCTAATTTATATCAAAATCTGGTTTTTAGAGCCTCCAGCTCCTGAATTCTCCTTCCTTTCAGGATCTCTGCTTCTAGGATCACACTTACTTTTTCTCTGAATATTTTGAAATCTCTAACTATATCCAGTAGCCCCTGCCTTTGCCATTATGAAACTGAACATCACATGGCCCTTTTCATCCAAGATCTTGTTTCCACATTAATCGCCTTTACTCTCAGAATTTTAAAAATCAAATTCAGGCTTAATGGATTCTTCCAACAGAATCACATAAAACATAAGAATCTAAGATTTTTAAAAAAATGTTATTGTATCCCTACAGTCAGCAAGATGGCCAAAAAAAGTTTATTATTTGGTAAAATTGCTCTCCAAGGCTGTAACATCCAATCCTGAACATTCCTAGGCTAAGTGGCCATTACCAAATTCCTCCCACCAGCACATCTGCATACAAAATGACATCATCAACAACAGGGCCTTCTCCTCTTCCAACCCCCACACTAGGGTCAAACAAAAAGTTAGTGTGCACACACATAAAGCACATTTACAATGTCCACTGCACAGTAAATGCTAGCTAGTTTACATTTGTTTCTAGATCTAAGCTCACCCTTTGAGTAAGGAGTAAGAAAGCAACCATGAACCACGATCTGTACATAAATATAAGGTGTGTTCTTTCAAAAGTCCATTTCTAAAAATGAATTCTTTATCAGTTAAAATATGAAATTTGTTGTCACCAAACAAATGAATCTCCATTTACATCTATTTAATGATAAAGAATATATTTTCAAAGTACAACACTTGTTTATGAAATATTTTATAAAGTTTAAAGTTTCCAAAATGTACTTTTAAAATACTAAAGCATCTAAGGAAAAAATAGCCAATTTGCCCTTTAAAGATATAGGACAAATAAATCTTGCTCAGTAATTCATACATGCCTAATCAATAGAAACAATGCAAAATAACAAGAAAGGTTTTTACTTTCACAAACCAAGTCATAGATTTAAAATGAGTCATCATGTTAAGCTCTAGGAAAACTGTAAAGTTATTTTGTCTTTATGTTCATTTCTCCCAAACATTTGTCCTCAAAATGAATTTTCATTAATTTCCCATCTATTGACCACAGCTGTTTTTTTTTTGCCAGGAATTCTGTCTCATAACTGTTTTTTGTAATTTGAACATCACTTTGTTCAGTGTCAACACACAGTAAATCTTCAATAAACATGTTAAGAATCAAATTATAAGAGCTTAAGAGTCAGAAAGAATGCATAATTTTTTCTAAAAATACAAAAATTTGAGACTCACTAAATCAAGAATATCATAATGTGAAATACCCAAATATTACTCAAATTTTAAACCGTTTTCTTTCTTTTTTTATTTGAGGTATAATTGACATAAGCCATTTTCTTAAACAGGAAAAGTTTTAAGAGATTTCTACCACAATTCTTGTTTTTCAAATACATTCCTGGGACTTCCCTGGCAGTCCAGTGGTTGGGACTCTGCAAATCCCTGGTCAGGGAACTAAAGATCCTGCAAGTGCATGGTGCAGCCAAAAAAACCAAGAAACAAAAAAAAACCAAAAATAAAATACATCCTAAATTCCTGCTGCAAAAGCACAAAAATGTCTTAGATTTCATGTTAATCCATCGGTTTAGAAACAATTTACAGGTAAACTGACATAAAAACCGCCACTAGACTGTGAGATTCAGGAAGAGGAGAGAGATTTGTTTTGTTCACTGCTGTGGCCCCTCCCTCTGCCCCAGTGCCTTGGATGGTGGCTGGTACCAGTAGGTTTTCAATTAGTATTTGCTGTATTGAAAGAACCTATGTGTGCAGACCCCTTAGTACAAAGCCAGACCCAAACCTGCAGGATCCCACCAACACCATGAGAAAACATGGAGCAATCTCATGCTGTGCAGATACAAATTGAGCCTCTAGAGAACAGAGGACAGGAAGAGAAGACAGACACTCAGGGGAACTGACTGCAGACTCAGTTTCCACACACTGCTCCAATGTATTCACATTGATGCCGTGTTTAAACTCCACCAATTTAGAGATTCATTTAGGTTAACAAATCTCCTCTTGAAAGAATGCAGGAATCATTTAAACTTCTCAATAACCTTATGGTGTAAACATTTCACCATTCCACTTTGCAGATGAAACTGAGGCTAAAAGGCCGAATTACTTTCTTAGAGTCACAAAGTACTTTCCCAGTGTCACACAGTTTATGTACAGCACGACTCAGAACCTTTAATCCTTTAATGCTACCACCTCGTTGACAGGGGAATATGACTAACCTTTACCCACACATCAGTGCCCAATACCTTTCTCTCCAAACACCTAAAACAAGTTTTCTTAAAGATGGAGCTTTTGTTTGGGGTGATGGGCAAGCAACAAGTAGTTTCAGAACATGGATCACTTATGAGGTAAGTATCTAAAATGAGGATCATGTATTTGGGGTGCCTGGGGGAATCAAGCCCCAAAGCAAACCACAGATTTCAAAATACTGCACAGGGCCAGCTCTTGCTCTAGAACAGTTTGCCTCTCTCTCTTCCTCTTCCTCCCCTTCCACGTGACCCTCACAGATCTCAGCACCAGAAAATAGACTACCATTGTCAGTGCCATAGTTTGGCAACATTATGTGTCCCAACCACAGTGACTGGCACAGAACAAGCAGGCAAATATTTACTGAACGAACCAAAGGCCAAAGTTGTTTCTGTGGGCAAGGTGGGACCCTAACTGCCTTTTTTTAACAAAGTGGAGATGAGAAGTGTACCCTAACACTTGATTACTGGTGTAAAAATGAACTTTTAAAAGGCAGGTGTAAACTGGGGACAGGCTACAGTCAAAGCCTTACCTGATTCTTCTTCCTCAGCTAGATTGCCTCAAAGAAGAAAACAGCTTAGCACGTTAGCATCCAAATACAGATCTCAGAAGGCACATGATGTTTTAATATTTTAGAGTATAAAACCAAACACCATTACCTTATTTAGGTTGCCTAGTTTAGGTCATGTTAACATGAACAGCAGCTTAAAAAAGAGTCCCCTCTCAGCATTCTCAGGGTGAGAGTGGGTGGAGGTTGAGAAGAATAGTAGGCATTTTTCCAAAAAGTTTGCTGTGGGCCAAAAAACAAAATCATACTCCACAGTGTGGGAAAAGTTTCCTTTAAAACATGGCCAGAAATTTATACAAATATATGCTTTATACCAAATAATTAAACAGAGCCTATGATAATAGGAAGACGTAAGGTTAAGCCAAACGCTTCAGAGACAACTCTCGAAAATTTTACCTATTTCCCCTTTGGTAGACTCCCGTGACCTGAAGACTTGGCTACAGGTTCCAATTGGTATTGGATTCTTCATAACGTATGATTTTCAGGCGTCAAATTACAGTAAAGCTGGTGGGGCAGAATAACAGCCAAAAGCAACAGGGAAGATGCCCATTTTTCTCCTCCACCCTCCTCTCACTTGCCACTTAAGAAAAACGGCACGCCTCTACATTAGAAAAGGGCCTCATCCTTTGAGATTCAATGCAGCGCTAAGTCTGTGATTTCGGGAACGAACCTGCGGATTCCAAAATACAGGTTAAGACCTCATCCATCATGAACTAGTTTTGCGCTCTTCCACCACCTCCTTTGTCTGAGCTGTCCCTGCAAACTCGCAGTTCAATGCCTTCCTGTAAACAAGCTAACTAAACCAAAAAGGAACGTTCTAAGTCTTTCTCAAAAGAAGAACCCAACAACGCGTCTGAAGCCTCATCCCAGGAGTGAGCAGGCGGGGGTGCACACGACGGGAACCTCGACCCTGGGGCCGCCCGCCGAGCTGCGCGACAATCCGGGCCGAGGTTGGGGCGCCGCGCCCGCCGCCCCCGCGCCCAGGCTGCGGCTCCCGCGGGGCCAGGGACCGGGGACCATCGCCCGCCGCTTCGCCACGGCTTCTCTCTCCGCTGCCAGGCACTCACCTCCGTGGATGGGCAGCGGCGCCAGCACCTGACCGCGGACCTCGGCCTTGGGCGAGTCGAGCCCGTAGCGCCCGCGGTCGATGCGGAATGTGAGCGGGGCGCCGCGGCCGGGCTCCTGCACCGTCACGTTGATGAGCGCCGTGTAGTACTCCTGGCTCGCGTTGTCTGCCCGCGCCGGCCACAGGCTGCAGGTCAGCAGCGCGAGCGCGGCGAGCCGGGCCGGGCCCGCCCGCGCCGCACCGCTCATCGTCCCTCCCGCCGCCGCCGCCGCCGCCGCTCTCGGACCGGGCTCCCGGGCCGGCGCCGAGAGGCGGCGCGGGCGCGGCCGCCGCGGCTCCGGGAGCGCACGCGCGCGGCCGGTGCAGGGCCGGGCACGAGCACGGCCCTCCTCGGTGCCGCGGCCCTGCTGCTCGCCGCCCTCACGTCCGCGGCTTGCCCGCGGGGACGCGCCCATGGGCCCCTTCGGCGAGGACGACGGGTCAGCCCGCGCGCGATAGTCTCCTCCGGGTCCCTCCAGGGCCATGGGGGCGGGCCCTCTCCATTCCCCGGGGCCGGTCCCGCCGAGTGGGGGCGCCTCGCAAGGACACGACAGAGGTGGGAGATGCGCCCGAAGAAGGGTCTCTGGAACACAAAGTCCCGGTCGCCGAGCTGCTGCCTCAGGCGCGCACTCGCCACCGCCCCGCCCACTGTCAGCCGGGTGGCACGGCGCAGGCTTGGGGCTCAGCCCCGCCTCCACGCGCATGCGTGCGAGGGCCTGTCCGCTCCCGCCCGCCTGCACGAGGGCCCTAGGAGGCCCCGGCGCTTTCTTAACCCGCGACCGGACGTGTTTATACGTCAGGCGTGATGCGCCTAGGATCTAGAGCCCGGGTGCTTTCCAAGGGCCTCTGGAAGAGTTTGAGATGAGGTTACAAAAGAAAAAGAGCTAAAACTTTAAAATTAATTTAAAGATTAAATGTCAATGGGATTACACATTTCAACTGGTCAACTCCAAGTCATATAATTGGCATCACAGGGAGGATGCTTCTGTGCAAATAAGAGTACAAGGGCTCACTAGGCCCGGATCTTTAAGGACATCTGAGTTATTAGGAAGGACCCCTACAGACTAGATGAAACCTCCAGAGTCCCTTGGACAAGGTGGAGACTGTGGTGAGACTTTCCCCCCACCCCAGACCCCCCAGCACACACGCTACCCTATACACACACACACACACACACACACACACACACCGTATCAGTTAAGCTGTGCACCCTTCTAAAGCATAAATGAAAGGGAAGGGTGAGTCTAGATTTGGGTGTAGCTGAATTCAGGAGCTTATATGATATTGGGCAGCATACTCATCATTGCCATGAAGCAGGGAGGAAGGATGGCATCTTCTGACGAGCCAGGCCTGGATCTCCTGCCTCCTATAGTGGAAAGGGGGTGGAAGTCATCCTTGCTCAACCAACTGTACTGAGAATCCCAGAGAGAGGCAGCATCCCGAAGGAAAGCTGAGGCGCAGTTTCCAGGGAAAGGGTATGGATGTAGTGCAGGCCAACACATCAGATGTCCACTGGTGCCTTCTTATCGACATTCTTAACAATTTCTCCCTCCAATTCCTTCCCTTCCGTCCCCACTACCTTTGTTTGTCTAGTCCATGTCCTGTCCTGAGACTGCGTTTTATTTACTTGCATACAGGAAGTAACCAGGCCACCATCCTAGGCCCTGTACTGAAAGAGGGATCTGCTCTGGCCCTCTCACAGCTGGACCCCTCTCACAGGGCAAGGAGTCCTTGGAACCAAGGTACCTCTGCTCAGGCACCTGAGACCTAGGAATTCCCTTTCCAAACAGTCCTGGGCCTCTTCGGGCCTACATGGTAGGGCTCTTTGTGGTGGGATCTTCTTACTCTGCTCCTATTACTTAACGTGCTGTGGCCTGCCCCTGCTTGAAAAGCTCATGCCCCCTACTACCTTGTCCTTACAAGGGTGTTTCAGAGTGTGGGGTGCTCCTGCCCCCTGGCGTAAGAAACAATTACAGAGACCCACAGACGCCACCCTGTTAAGTCAGTTGGGGAGAAAGCAGGTCCTTTCAAGCTCTCTTTTGGCCCTTCTGAATTTGTCAAGGAGAAAGTTGGATCTAAAGTGCTTTTAACATGATCCCCCTTCAAACAAAGTGGGATGAGGTCTTCGCACACAGCTTCAGCAGGCACCAGCATCTAGAGCAATGTTAACAACAACCTGTGTTTGGAGTGTAATAGTCTTTAATTTTATGGAGACCTTTCCATTAGGTCAAGAGATTTTTCATTTATAAGTAGTGATACAAAGCTACCTTTAAAAAAATTGTGGTAAAATACACCTAACATAAAATTTATCATCATAACCATTTTAAGTGCACAGTTCAGTGATATCAAATACACTGACATTATTATTATTATTTGTTTTTTTGCGGTACACGGGCCTCTCACTGTTGTGGCCTCTCCCGTTGCAGGGCACAGGCTCCAGACGCACAGGCTCAGCGGCCATGGCTCACGGGCCCAGCCGCTCCGCGGCATGTGGGATCTTCCCAGACCGCGGCACGAACCCGTGTCCCCTGCATCCGCAGGCGGACTCTCAACCACTGCGCCACCAGGGAAGCCCTCAAATACACTGACATTATTATGCAACTGTCATCACCATGCGCCTCCAGTCTCTTCTCATCTTGTAAAACTGATAGCTCTGTACCCATTAAACAATAACTTTTCCCTCCCCCCAGCCCCTGGGACCACCATTCTATTTTCTGTTTCTACCAATTTCACTATTCCACTCATATAAGTGGAATCATACAGTATACGTCCTTCTGTCACTAGCTTATTTCACTTAGCATAATGTCCTTCAGGCTCAGTCATGTTGTAGCATGTGTCTGAATCTTTCCTTTTTAAGGATTAATAATATTCCATTGTATGTATATACCATACTTTGTTTATCAGTCTGTCAATGGACACTTGGATTGCTTCAACCTTTCGACTATTGTGAGTGGTGTACCAGAATGCCACTGGTTCAAATCCCTGCTTGGCTACATGTCAACTGTGTGACCTCTGCAAGCTCATGTTCCCTCTGAGGTCAATTTCCCTCTGTGAAGTGATACTAATGACCTCTCTCTCTATAGTCCTGAGAGCTACAAATCAGATGATGGGTGCCTGGAAGCTATAGCTGCTGCAGTCACCCCATTTCCCTCTGACTTGCTACTGGAGGCACAGGGACTTGTGAGGGTTTGAGTGGCTGCCTGGGTGAGGACTGCAGTACTGCCCTCCCACAGCCATTACCCAGAACAGACTGTCCCGAACGGATAGACCCTCAGGCTGGTCAGTATCCTGTACACGCAGGCACCGGGAGCCCCACTGCAAGCAGGGGCACAAGGTAACAGCATTTTATTTAGAAAAATGTAAAATACATTTGTACTGGTAATCCAAAACTCTTAATCTTTCCTAACTAAAAACTTCAAGTATAAGAAAAAGTTGGAGGATGGCACAGTGAAGCCCTGTACCTCATCACTTGGGTTCAGCCAGTGTTAACATTTGGTTGCTTTACCTATCGCTTTTATTTTAAAATTGTTTTCCTGAACCATTTTATGACCCTTTGGGCTGTTCTTCTATATTACCATGACCAAAACAATGAATAGCAATTCTGTAAAATAATCCATATCTTACCCTATTCAAAGGTTCCTAAACGTCTAAAAATCCCCCCTGGCCCCCATGTTTTCTTTGAATGGGATCAAATGAAGTTTCTGCATTGGGTTTGGTTATGTCTTTTTTTAGAAATTCAGACTTTGAGGTCACAGGCCCAGCTCCAGCAGATCATAAGAAGTAGATGGCCGTCCTGCAAATTTGAGCTTGTGTCCTACCCCAGATATACTGTTTAGAGTTCACCAGAAAATATACTGCATTTTCTGCCATTGTCTTGTCAATAATATGAATACTATTTTTTTCATACTTTTTTGTGTGGACACTTAAGTTATACCACAGTTACTGTAAATTTCCTCATTTTTAATATACCAAGAACCTCAAAAAATGGAAGTGACCCAGGGTCTTCTCACCTCCAAAAGGGCCACTAGACGAAGGAAGTGGCAGCCTTCCCTCCCTTTCCTGGTGGGGTGGTGTCAGGGAAGTAATGGTGGGACGTGGGGAGTGAGGACCTGCCACACTGGCGGTCCTCTGAGCCCAGGGCTCATAGGCCACCTCCATGAGAGTGGGCCTGGCGTTGGATTGGGTGATGCTATGAAAATCCCTGTAGACAGAGGAGTGATGAGAGACAAAACGGCTCAGATCTGGAACCTGTAAAGGTCCTGAGTCCAGAATTTAATTCTCCTGAGGACTCTCAAACATAGGGATTGTATGCCCATTCTTCAGATGAGGAGACTGAAGCTCAGAGAAGTGAGATTTTTGCCCAGTGAACTTGTCCCAGCTAATGAGGTGGTGTCCCTGGGGTGGAGACCAGTCTTGGCCAGCTCTAGGACCCTCACTCATTTCAGTCCTGCAGGTTGGTGCCAGGCTCAGGATTCAGAAGATGCCTGGATTTCCTGGTACTTGGCCCAGGCCAGGAAGCCAGAGGCTCCTCCAGGAGTTCGGGTGGGGCCTGGGGCTGATGCTGAGTGGGCACAGGCTGCTGGGGTGGGAACCTTTTAGCAGGATTGAAGGCATCACCTCGTCCTTTGTCAAGATTTATTTGGTCAGAGTGACGAATGACTGAGAGAGGAGACGCCAGCTGGGCTGAGCTAGCCTGGGCAGACCAGCCCTCATGTCTGACTGCTGGTCCTCAGGCTGACCTGGGGTGGTGGCCCCTGGGATCCCTAGGGCCCCTTGCCAGGGGTCCTGGCTGTATCTGGAAGGACCCTCTGTTCACAGGCTGGAGAGATGTGTACAGAAAGAGACTCTTTTGGAAAGCTGTCTGGTGAAGGCAAGGTAGCAGGGTCAGTCTCAGAAAGGACAACACCCAGCCGACTCTGGGAGTCTGAGCAGTGGGAACAGAGGGGTGGCTTCATCAGGGCACAGCTGTTGGGCTAAGTCACCGTTGCATCCCTTCAGGAAGAAAGCATCTGACTGGTCTAGTTTGAGTCAGGTGCCTACACCTTGATCCTAGTAACTCAGGGCACCTTGACTGTCAGCCTGCCAAGGGAACATCAGTGGAGGAGAAATAGCCCCCAGAGCTGACATAGCCCGGTGGCACAGGAGACAAGGGCAGCTCTGTCTGCTGCAGGAAAACCACACAGGTTGCTTGATCCTACTTCCTGCCAGGTGAATGCCGCTGGTGTCTTCCAGAAGTAGAAGTGGGGTTTCGAATCTTTCTCTTCAGACCTGTCATCCAGCTGGGAGGCCGTGCTGCTTCCATTTATTTGTGATCCGCTTCAAGACTAATATTAAAGTCCCAGCAGCTTTTCTTTCACTTGGGGATTACTGCAAAGCAAACTGCCAGTCCAGAGCTGACACCAGGCTTCATGCTGCTTTTAAAACAATGTGGAACACAAGAAAAATAAAACTATGTGCACAAAGATGTTTATTGCAGCATTAGCTATATGGGCAAAACGTTGGAAATAAGCTCATTTACTTGTTAAGCAAATTATGGTACAACAAATTTGAGGATGATTATGCAGCTATTAATATATTGAACAAGTTGTAGCAATGTGAAGA